GTATCATGGGTTATTCAATAGGTTGATAGGTGATTAACGGGTTAATAACAGGCCCCCAAATTTTGGGGCGTCAGAGAGAGGGAGAGAAAACATATTTGAGATATTGGGAGACAACTCTACTCAGATTTGTTAGTTGCTCTTGTAGATCGGTCAATACTCTGGTTGTTATCAACAGTCGATGGTTGTTGGTTGCTCATTGGTTATCACCAAGAGAGAGACAGACGACAAAGTAAGAGAGACAATCGATAGGGAGAATAGGGCTAAAAAACATATAAATTGCTACTAACAGGGTTCAAATGTGAGACCTCATTAAACCCCACCCAGGCGCAAACGTGTTTTGAGTTTTTGGTGTTTTTGAAAACATCAATTTCTTGTCTGCAAAATCTGGACTTGTTTTCAAAACAAATTGGATTGAAAAAAAAATGAATACACATCCCAAAAATGTATTTGTTTTTTGGTAAAAAATTGAAAAAAAAAACAAGCGGTTGCCAAATGTAACCTTAGTAAATGATGGTACCTTGCACCCATTGAAGAGGACTTTATGGTGGGCAAGTGAACAATTCTATGGATAGATCTCATCTGCCATGAGAGTTTTGCCCAATAACATTCTTAGAAGATGTGCATTTTCGTTTCAGCATCTCTTCGACACATACAACACATATCATCTAGCCTAATTTTCCTACGTTGGAGATTGTCATTAGTGGTTAAAGTATTCAAATAAAACCTCCAGATAAAGATCTTGACTTTACTCGGGATTCTTTGATTTAAGAGAAAGTTCCAATTCTCCGTCTCTACACTACTTGAAACCAATAATTGTTCAGTGGTTGCCAAGTTTTGTTCGACTGCTACATAAAAGGTATTTCACACTATAAATTTCCCATTTTTGTTGTAATGCCAGATCAATTTGTCTCCCTTAATAGGGTCAGCTAGAAAAATATTCTTAATAGCTACAGCGTCATGGGGAAAAAAATGATATCCAATAACTGTTTATCCCACTGATTGGTCCCGCTGCAATTAATTCGCTAATCATGGCATTCACACTTAGAATGTTTAGGGGCGCTACACACATAAAGGTTTTTGGAATAGGGATCAATTTGTCCTACCATATCTTCACCCTTGTTCCATTTCCAATTTTTCACCTTGAAACTGCTTCAATTACTTTTCATGAAGCAAAGATGCTTCACCAAGTATAAGATGGCTGAATACCAAGATTAGCTTCCATAAATGTTGACGAAGGGAAATATTTGGATTTCAGGACTTTATGTAGGACGGTATGTGAAGGCTTTAAGATCTTGGAACCCCATACCCCTTTTTGATTTTCTCTTGCACATATTTGGTGTGCTTACCTAATGCACTTTCCTCTCCCCATTTTTTTGACTCCACCAAAAATTTGATTTCAAGGATTCCAACTAGACAGACAAGAGCTCTGGAAGTTTAAAACAACCCATTGCATAAGTTGGTATATCTTGAGTGACTGCTTTAATTAAAACTTCCTTGTCGGCTTGCGATAAAAATTGCTCATTCCATCCTTTCATTTTCCTCCACATTCTTTCTCTTGTTCCATTGAAGACCTAAATTTACCCATTATGGTTGGGAAACCTAAGTGTTGGTCATGTGCTTTGACAGATTGTACCCCTAGAATTGCTTGAAGTTCTTCCGCTCTCTCTATGGATACATTTTTGCTACACACGAATGCTGACTTCCCTAAATTAATTTTTTTGTCTCGAAGCCAACTCATAAGTCTTTAAATTCTTTTGAACCTCTCTTGCTTCGAAGATGAAAGCATTGAAAACTAATAGATTGCCAGTCAACGAAGAACAAATGTGAAATTCTTAGGCAACCCCTTCCTACCGACACACTAGTAAGAGCCCATCTCGCTTAGTTGTCTTTAAGAAAGCCGACATCTCTTCTACACAAATAAGGAAGAGATAAGAAGATAAGAGGTCCCCTTGATGAGGGCTATCTCTAGAGAGAAAAAATCACAGTGGTTGGAATTTAACATCAGAGAGTATGAAACTGAATTGACACACTGTGTTATTAGGGAGATTCATCTTCTATCAAAACCCAACTTTTTCATTATTTTATCAAGGAAAATCCTCTCTACCCGATTGCTCATATCTAGTTTTAAAGAAATATGACCATGCTTCCCTCAAGTTTTGCATTTGAGAAAATGATTAAGCTCGAAAGCTACTAAAATGTTATCTGTGATATGATGACCTAGGATGAAAACACATTGATTTTCGACCAAGGATGAAAACACACTGATCCCAATTTTAACCAGTTTTCTAAAACTTTCAAGATAGGTTTGTGTAATGCATTCCATAAATTTATGGGGAGAAATTGGAACATGTTTTTTCGGGATTAGGGCACTTTGGGATCAACACGATGTGAGTGTAGTTCTATTTTATAAGAAAAGTAGGTCCATTTAAAAAAGGTAATACTCAACGAAGGATATCGGTACCAATGATATTCCAGTATTTTTGGAAGAAAAGAACAAACAAACCGTCGGGTCCCGGTGACTTGGTGGGATACATTTGGGAAAGGGCGAGCTTTACCTCATCCACTTGAAACCACCATATTAGGCTTGCATTCATAGCATCTGACACTTTGTGGTCTACTTCTCTTAGCACAATTTCTAAGTTCTCTTTGCAAGTTCATGATGATGAAAATAATGTTTTAAAATAACACTCTGCAACTTGCTCAATTTCTTCATGGCTATCACACCATATTCCTTGGTCATTTTTCAAGTTATTTATGCTATTTGTTCTTTGTCTTTGTGATGCCCAAGTGTGGAAGAAAGATGTGTTACGATCCCCTTCCTTTAGCCACTATATTTGCGCATCTAACAGTTCATTTCATGCAACTCTCTTTTGATTTCTTGCTCCAATCTATGGGAATCCTTATTTCTCGTACCTTCCTTTAAAATCGCCAATCTTAGCCTTACTTCCTCCAATCTATGAGGTACATTTCCCAACTTTTCCTTTTTCTGTTTGAGAAGGCCTATGCAACAATTTTGAATATTTTTGTAATAGTCCTCATAGCCCCTTGTGTTGTATTTGTTCTCCATGCATCCTTTATGACCTTTATGCAGTCTGCTCGTTTAACACAATCTAATTCAAACCTGAATCTCTTTGTCACGCTGTGGTTTAACAATCCTATAAAACTTAAAAGACCATAAATGTGTTTAACCTAGAAAACTTTTTTTTGTAATAAGTGAACAATGAGTCGGCTTGGAGAGAAAAAAAAATGTTTCAACTTTGTGCGGGCGTTTTTTAGCACAATAGATGAAACTGGAACAGATCTCTCCCACGGTGAGCTCCGACTTGTCGAGATGGTGGATCCGGCAATAAGGAATGAGTTGAGAAGGCCAAAGGGGGCCTAAGGAGTGGTGATGAATTATTCATGGGATCGCTGAACGGATTCTGGTGGCTTCGCAAGGATTCCCTGGAACACATAAAGCAAGTTAGAAGGACGTCAGAGTATTTTTCGGCGTATCCTTTCAGACGATCAAGTCAGCTCTTTGAGAGAGGGGAAGAAAAAAATACTGTTTGGAGTTCTTGAGAGGTGATTTTGCGTACCTTTGTACTGTATTTTTTGAGGACTATTTATACCTCCAAAGACCCATCATTACTGATGGCCTACGCAGTAGATAGTATCCAGACATAGGGCAGTGTGCCTCTTACTTTGCATGGGGAGGCCCCGTTATTAAATGCTCGGGTCTAGAGCATTTAATGCTACTTCCTCTAGGCTTTCAGAGCCATCATGGGTTTTCCATCGATTGAGTTTATTAAATGCTTGCCTGAGATAACTGCATGTCAGCAAGGACATTTTTGTCCATTTAGCCCCTTGCTTGTACTTCATGCCCCGTGTTCGACTCCTCTTGGTGGAGTATCTTGTTCATTCTGTCATTCTGACCTTGTTGGGAAGAGTACCCTTGTGATCCTAGTCTGGTTCTGAAAGTGACCAGCTGTCAATCAGTAGCCTTTGGAGTCGAGGATGCATGGTACGTGATGAAGACTCCGAGGTGCCTTAGCGCCGATATGATGTGTTAGGTGGAGAGTACTCCGCGGACAATATGTCGTGGACTCCGAGAACAACATGTCTTGGACTTCGAGGTACCTTTAGTGGAGGGCTTTGAGGTGCCTTTAGGGGAGGGCTTCGAGGTTCCCTTAGTGGACTTTGAGGTACCCTTAGTGGAAGACTCCAATGTGTCTTTAGTGGACTTCGAGGTACCCTTAGTGGAGGGCTTCGAGGTGCCTTTAGTGGAGGGCTTCGAGGTGCCTTTAGTGGACTTTGAGGTACCCTTAGTGGAAGATTTCGAGGTGTCTTTAGTGGATTTCGAGATACCCTTAGTGGAGGGCTCCGAGATGTCTTTAGTGAAGGACTACGAGGTACCTTTAGTGCCGAGATGACGTGTTATTCGCAGGAAGCTCCGAGGTGCTGAGGACACGTGCTTCGTCCTCCTTGATCACAAAAAATGTCTCATCAAACTTCTATAGTTGTTTTAAGGATATAAATTTTCTTCATTACAACTTTTTTTTAATATTAATTCATTTATTATTAATACATACGATACTCACTATTTATTAATGGCTCTCTCATTTATACACAGTGAATGACTTTATTCGCAGTGAATAATTTACTATTGAGTAAGAACTAAGAAGATCTAATTAATTAACTTAATTATTTATAATTGGATCGACAATAGACTCAATATTTATTGACACTAATAATTATCACAATAATTATGATAAATTACATTAATAAATTATATAAATAAATTAAATATAAATAGCACTATTATCGAGTGAAATTAAGAAAAGTATAATTGAAGAGGCGGTTTTCAATAGCCACGCTTTCTTTCTTAAATCTTAAGTTTCCCTCCAACTTTTGGTGCCCAATAATGGGGACCTAACTTTTGGGGAAGAAAAAGCGCAAACCCCAAAGCAACACACTCTGAGCTCTTTCTCTTTCTCTCTCTCTTATCCCCGTGTGTGTGTGTGTGTCAATGGACGACGATCCAGATTACATTGAATTCCTTGACGTGCAAGCATATCAGGGATACGATCAAGTCCAACACTTGATTGAAGAGCAAAATGTTGTCGTTGAAGTCGACGACGACGAAGAAACTGAAGATGACGACTATGATCAACAAGAAGACCAACCGGAAGAAGACGGCGAGTACGACGACCAAGTTTATGCGCGGTTCGTCACCTCGGGGGATACGATAGCTAGGGTTTTATCGTACAATCGTGGCGGTCGTGGAAATATGACGTCGTATCAAGAGGCGGTGAGTTTTAGCCGTGAGGGTTTGGAGAATGCTGCGGATGAAGCGAATGAGGGGAGTCAGAAAAGGACGCAACGGGGTGAAACGTCGTCGTGCAAGAATGAGAAAGTCGAAGGTGGAGAAGAGTGGAACAGAACTGAAATTGACGGGTTGTTTTGCCCTATTTGCATGGAGGCTTGGACCAATGGCGGTGACCATCAAGTCTGGTCGGTACAACTACTCTATCACTATTTCTTAACTGTAATTTTCCAACGTTTATGGGACTCTGAATCATGGATATGCATCCATATATTTGTACGTGAGATAAAGCACTGAAATTAAGCGGATCGAGGAACTTGGGATTTAGGAATCGATTGGAATTTGAATGGTTTTAGATGACTTCTTTTAAAGGTTGAAAAGATGAGAACCATCACAAGCATGTGTACAACAATCTATGCATGCGCCAAAAAATTTCAATAATTTATTGTAATGTGTGATTGATTAGGGATTTTAGAATTATTGGGTGATGGACTCGTTTTCAAGTTGGCACTCTAGTGAGGATGGGTTGCAATATTGAATACACGTTCTTTTCATTTCATTTTGCATGTATATAACCGTAGTGCTGACTGCTGAGGCTCCCCTGTGTGAAAATGTGGATTTGAGCGTGAGAACTGAAGGAAGATGATGATGACAATATTCACCATTGTGAGCAAAACTTTTCTTCACCTTAAAAGCAAAAGTTTATTGCTTTTGTAATAGAATAGAAATTGAGTTAAATTGCATCTTGAAGAAGCTTTGACAGAGAAGGTAATTTAAATGTAATTGACAAGAGGACTTCCCATTTTGGTATTTCTGAATTTGACATGGATGAACATCTGGGGAATAGTTTTCACTGTACACTATTTTGAAAAACACAATTTCAGTTGGCCACATAATTTTATGAACATAGATTGAGCTATTGTCAAGTGCAATTAGTTAGGTGATTAAAAGAGTTCCACTGCACAATCTTGTTCATTTGAGAAGCAGTGCATCTTTTTGTGTAGTCATTTGAGAATTGCATCTTTTATAGTTTTTTATTCATCTGCTCTATGATTGGAGGACTGCAGTTGTCTTCCTTGTGGCCACATATATGGTATGTCTTGTATCAAGAGATGGTTACAACAACGTAGAAGTTCAGGGAAGGTACTGTTCATTATCCATTATCTCCTTGTTTCTTAAATTGGTTAATTCACATTTATTTACTTATTTCCTGAACTTCTGATTTCCTCCCTTGGCATTTAGTGTCCTCAATGCAACAGCAAGTGCGCGTTGAAGGATGTTCGAGTACTTTATGCATCGCAGATTGTGGCTGTTAATGAAGAATTACAAAAGGTCATAAGTGGTTTGTAGTCTACAATTTAAAAAGAAACCTATGACATTTTTTTAATCGTGTCAAAATCTTGTTTGCAGAAAGTTCGATCACTTGAAGCTAAATGTGCTTCTCTTGAGAAGATGGTAAGAAAAATCTAGGCAATACAACTGCAAATTTAACATTTGCATTATAGACCTAGATGAGCATGACTCATTTTTTTTCGTAAGTGGTTTTCACTCGTCATACTTTTGTTTTAACAAGTTCTTTCACTTCCAACAATGTCTGACACAATCAGTTTCCTGAAATTTGAAGCTGATCAATTCTATTTCCTACAATTGTCTCTGTCATGAATTATATTCTTTTTGGTGACTTTCCAGTGTTTGAAGTTTTAATGATATAAAACCTATTGATCAATTTCCTTATTGCAGATCCCTAATTTTATTTTAGGTTAACCTAGTTGGTTTGGTTAATTTACTCTTTGGATTTCTTGTTTTTTTTTTTTTTTGTTGAATGATGTTTCATATGCAAATTATGATATGAAAACACTCCGACTTTGAGCAATCTTCGGGTGGCCCTTCTACTGTTTGTTATTGCTTCCAAACTTGAGCTTCTTGCATACCACTTACCCAAGCTTCTGCTTGTTTCACATTGTTTTATTTGGTGCGTGTGTGTGTGTGACAGACTCTTATTTGTCACATGGTTTCTTTTCTGATACACATGATTGACAATATTATCATTCTTCCTAGGTGCCAGTTTCCACTCCTTGTTGGTATCTACAAATTTTTTACTTGTATGTGCAGGGTGCTGACTGGTGTAAGAAAGAAGTTGAGTGGCGAAAGACAGAAGCAGGTTTGCATTTGCAAGTGCATCAACTTACAGAGGCATGTTATGTACATCTACTTTTTGGATGCAATTGGAAATTTTTCCAAGTTTGATTGTGTTAAGAATATCATTGGTATTGGTGTTATTTTAATTTGTTGTTTGTGTGAAGTCAATGAGGCTGGCAACTGTATTTTCTGTGATAATGGTATTAGGTGTGCACATTTTAAGCTGACTGCAATTTATGTTCATGGTTGTTATACTCCTTACTTTTCTTCTGTCATTTCCTGGTGCTGACTTCGTCTGAAGGTGTTATTATCCTTGGGTTTATTTTTTTTGCGGACCAGATTTTTGTTCCATATGTTTTCATCTAGGAAGCACGGATACGGATACTGATACGTGACACGGGTACAATTCGATATGAATACGACGATACGACAAAATTTCAAAAAACAGGATACGCGTACGGCCAGGATACGTCTATAATAAAATATATTTTATATTTTACTATTATTTAACGACTTAGAAATTATAATTTTCAATAATTCTTTAACATTAGTTAGTATAATTAGAAATTTTTACCATGAAAAGGTTGTAATATCGTCTCATCATGATATGTTCATAAAATGAGCATGACAAATTAAAAGAATTATAACAACATTTAACTAGTTAGTTTTACAATTATTTATTTTTAAAAGTATAGTGTAAGTGACTCATTTTTTTTATACCCTCTTAACATATAATAATAGGTAATACTTAAAAAACACTCGTGTCTTCAAAATCAGATGGAATTTTGTTGATGTTTTATATTGTATGTGAACTCTAAAGAAGGGGTATAGCTTAAAATTGAAAATTGTACATCTTGTTTTATGTTTAAAAGTATCCGCGAAGTATCCACATATTTTATTAATTATTGGATAAGGATGATGCGTATCCGATACGTATCATCGAGTATTCGACGACTATCATATCCGATACGAGTACGTCGACCTTGACAAAGTATCTGTGCTTCATAGGTTTTATCGGAGTGGCTTTTCTGTCTGTTCCTTTGTTCTTTATTTGTAGACTTTTCTTTTTATTGTTTTGGTTTATGTTTTCGAGATGCTTTGGAGCAAGGATAAAAATATTGTTTTCTACTATATTATTTTGAGTTACCGCAATTCACTAAACTCTTAACGACCCACGATTTGGGTACATCAATCCCAAATGAGGTGGGTTTACGATCCAGATCTTCAAAATGGACGGTCCCAAATTGTAATACTAACCCTAAATTAATTCGCTTTAGAACACGCAGTACAAATATAAAATACATATTAATTGACTACATGTATATGGATTTATAATTATATATTGTTTTAGATAATAAAAAATCAAGCACAATTATAAGATAAATGGTAACTAACTTTGTATTTTTAAATGTTTTGTAATATACAATATTGTATAGTAGTGAAAATGTTCTACATAATAGTTTCATAATGAATTGTGACCCAAAATGCTAAACCAACCTCTATCAGACCGCATCCCTAAGAAAGTGTTGTACCATGTACCTGTGCCCGTACTACGTACCAAAGCGACCTACGATCCAGGTAAAATTGATATTATTTCGGTTGTATAGGAAACGAAAATGTTTAGAAAACATTTTAGAAACAAAATGTAAATGAATAATAATTTGGGGATTTATTTTTAAAATATTTCGAAATATATCAAAATATCTTGAAATACCTCAAATATTTCGTATCATTGGTTGAAACGTACTGAAACACCTCGAGAAATTCCCAAACACCTTGAAAGATATTACTTGAATCAGTGTTGTGAAAAGTGCTCGCCTAGGCGAGAAGCGAAGCGAAGTGAGGAGAGGCTATCTCGCCTGGCGAAGCGAACGTGAGCTAAGCGAGAAAAGCGTTCGCCTAATGCTTAAAGTGCTAGGCGAAAAAGCGACCGTTTTTGTTATTAGAAGCGAAATATTTTATTTTTAATTTGGGCCGTTGGATTGGACAATTGGAAAAAAATTTATAAGATATGATACATCGAATCATCCCCTTATCAAATAAATACAATCCAAACCCTAATTTAAATCAGATCGTTGCACACGTTGGACTCCTACATATCGTTGCTCACGCTGGACTCGATTGACAGATTTCTTCACTGTGCATTGATAGATTTCTTCGTTGCTCACGTTAGACTCGATCGCTGCTCCTACAGGGTTCTTCACTGGTCGTTGCTCACGCTGGAGGCTAGACTGATCGCTGCACGGGTTAGTCTCTTTTTTTTTTTTTTTTTTTTTTTTTCTCTCTTCTATTTCTCTTTTTTTCTTCTCATTTTTGGTTCTAGATCTTCTTCTTGCTGCACAGATTTTGCTCCTTTTTTTTTTTTCTTGATTTTGATTCTGTTCCTACACATCGACAGACACGCTGGAGGCTCTGATCTCGCTGATTGTTGTCCCTTGCATTTAAATATTTAGTATATAGTATAAAATTAGAACTTAGATGTGTATAAGTAATTAAACTAAAATATATATATATTTTTTACCTGTTTGCTTCGTTTCGGTAAATCGTTTCGCTTTTCTCGCTTCTTGCCTAGGCGTTAGGAGCCTTGGTCGCTTTGGTTCGCTTTACGCCTTAAATAACACTGACTTGAATGTTCAACCACCGATTCGATTCGGTTTCTATAGAAACGGAAAGCTTTGGTTGTTTCAAAACGAAATTTTGATCATTGCATAGAACTTACTTTTGGGTTTGTTTATATCATGTATGATTGGAGGAACTTATGAATAGCACTTCATATTTCAACGGATAGCTTTACTAATGGGAAGCGTACTGTATCTCAATTCTTGTTTTCATATAGTACCAAATTTTTTGATTGTAAATTTGTGCCCTTGTAGAGGACCTGTTATTTGGAGGGTCTATTAGGAGATCAGCAAAGCAAACTATCAGGATCCTTGGCTAGTAGTCGGGGTTGTCAAGGACAAGCCACTCTTGGTAATCTTTTGGTGACGAATTTCTGCTTGGTGGATTTCTTGTTTTTATGTGTCTTGTTTTCCAATTTGGAATGAAACTTCTGATTGTTCTTCATGACTTACAGGACATAACCTTTATTTCGAATTTGATAGGCAACGATGTTCAAGTGGCTTCACATTGCAGGTGTGGAATTTTTTCTTGGTCAATTGGGAATCTGGCTTCAAATTTGAGCTATTTATATTATTTGTTTCTTTTGTATAATTTTGGTGATTCTATTCCAGGATAGACAACTAGAATTCCTGAAGTTTTTTGGATAAAAAGGTTTGGAACTAGCTTAGTTTATAGTAGGGTTACAAAGACTTATTTGCTGGAATGATGTTACATGAGTAATTTTTTTACACTATTGTAAAAGTACTTTTTGTGGACATGACTGTGGCTATTGCTATTCATCATACTATAGCAGAGGTAATTATACATAATATGTCAATAGTGTACTCAATTTGGTAAAAATCTCAAGGTGACATACTTTTTAGGTGGAAATACCTCATTGTAACATACTCATGGGTTCAAAGGGAAAGTATGGAACAGACAAAAGAATGCAGGAGTATAGTTTTCAACTTGGTTCCCTCAAACCAGTGTGAGAAAAGAGGGGATGGGTGGGAGAGAGAGCAGTGCAGATAGCATGGTTCTGTGGGGAGGTTGATGTAATTTGTGGAAGCATCCTGGTAGGCTCTTTTTCTGAGAGGAGTCATATTTGAGAACACTTCATAATGGAATTTTTCCACAATTTTGGTCTTTGCAAGATGGGCGTATCCTATTCATCGAAATAAGGGTATGGTATCCATAAGAGACCCTACGTTTAGGCAAATGTCATTTTCATGGGGTTTACATTTCTCTCATTTGGGAAGGTCAAAGGTGCTTGCACCAAATCCCACGAGGGTAAGGAGCTACTAATTATGCCTTGTAACAATGTGTAAACCTATTTAGGTTTTTATGGAGCATTGTACTCGTACAAGGTTTGTGGTAGCTTCTCATGAATTGGGCAGCTCTTACTTGATTTACTTACAGGTCTTTGGTTGTTCGATGGCCCAAATAAGATGGATTACATGCCATCATATAGTCGAATGATGGGTCATCCTGTTGCTGCCTAAGAAACATGGATATAAACAAGGGATACAACGCGAGGGGCAAAATGTTGGATCGAGGCCCCTTAAAGTTTCGGGTCTCAGCCTCGGGACAATGGATTTTCTTTATGTTCCTGTATTTTCATTTACAAAGTTCTATTGGTAGGCCATTGTTCTGAGTAGCATATCTATTGGCATTTGTCCGTTGAAACACAGTGAGCTTAACATCCCAATCAATATGGCCCTTTGGACTTGATAAATTTGCGGCTCTTTTTTTCGATTCGTTTTGTGGGGAAATTTTTAAAAAAATGTTGTAGAAATTTTCATTTGTCTTGCCCTCTCCCCCTTAAAGTGCATGTGCAATGCTTTCTGTTTTTTTGGTACTTTAGGGTCTTGAAGATTCTTGATGCAGTTAATCTGTATCTGACCTAATTTTATGAGAGGTCGTGTGGAATTCTTATCAGGTTCTGCCAGTCCATGAGGTTTGGAGAATTCCTCTGGGTGTTGTACCAAATTCTTTCAGCCTGATAGGTTTGCATGGGCATGATTCTTATTCGTTTTGCCATAGTTTGAAACCTAGAAGGGTTTCTATCATTACTCAGATAGATGGGGAGAAAAGGTTTTGGTTTCTGTATTGTATGGTGGATGATGTGGTCGTGAGGATAGGAAGAAAGATTCAAGCATAATTCTTTGTTAAAATAAAGGGAGGCTTTGTGTGATTTGGTTCATATATGGATGAATCAATTGAGCAAGTAGAAAATCAGGTTACTCCAGCCAAAGTTGAATGATGAGGAGGTTGTTGCTGGGAACATGGTACAAAAGACTTAGGGTGCTAATGATTCAAGTTTGGAGTCTATAGTTTTGGCCGAAGCCTCATGAATTCAAACTTGGACATTCTATGATGTCTTAAAAGTTGGTTGTAGCCATTTAAATCAATGGTGAAATTTCTTAGGAAACAAGCAACTTGAATGGCCTGATAATACCAATGGGTTTTTGGTCCAATGGTACTCCTTACCTTATAAAAGCTTTGTGTTCTTGAGGTCAAGGGTTCAAGCTCCCTCTCCCGTCTGATCTTCAAAAAAAAAAAAAAAAATGGCTTGATAACGGGGGAGTCACTAGAATGAGTACGTTTTTTAATTTCTGACAGGATCTTGTGATATCCGGGTGATACCTCAGTGTCTGTGATTCTATGATATAGCTTGGGTATTTGTCAATTGTCAGCTGTCGTTGTCTGTTGTCAAACACTAAATAGAAAGAAAAGGTTTAACAAGGATGATTGTCACGTTCTGTGTCATTTCTGATAAGATCTCTTTGAGATAGCTGTGCGACACCTCTGAATCTCTGATTTCATTACTATAGCCCCAACCATGGGTTAGTGGGGTTTTTCCATATTGTTGTTTTTCAAGTTATTTTAATTTTTTTTCTTATGATTTCTTATTTGCATGAGCCTATGTTATTCGTGGTTTGAAAACCATCATTCAGCTGCCTGTTTAATTTTGACCCAGTAGCTGTAATTTTTGCAGAACGAGTTCCAGGTAGATGGTGCTCGTTTTTTTGATGTGGATGCTTGCAGTGAACTTCTTGTAATTGCTCGAAGGCTCTCTGGAATGGGTGGAAAGCATGTGCTTACCAAGGTAAATATTTATGCCTTTGATGACAAATTGGCAAAGTGAAAGTGGTATTGTGTGCTTTTTTGGTTTACTAAAACTCAAGTATTTGTGCATATGGATTCTGCAGATGAGCTTGATAGCTCCAGATGAAAGGGAAGACATTCAGCTTCCTGTGAGCACAAAAGCTGTCAAGGACTTGCATGTCTCCCCTCATGGAAGACTTGCTCTCTTCGCCTCCTTAGGGAAGAAATTGTCAGTTCTCAGGTGGAGCTTCTGTTCTCTCTCTGCCCTCTCTCACCCCCAAGAGTTCCTTGAAGCGTTTTCTTTGCGCTCTCTTCTCTCTTCTTTTCTAGACGAGTATCTTACTTTGTTGTTCTGTTGTTTCAGTATGGATAGCAACAATACCATTCTTACCTATGATTTACCGGTCAGTATTCAATTCATTCATTGATACAGTTTTTCTTTCATGCAAGATATAGATATTAAATTAAGGTTCTCATGCTTCTTCTTTCTTGCAACCATATGTAACAATGTGGAATAATATAGTTGGATAACTAGAACTTTGCGGGATAGTTAGCAAGACTACTTGTCTGCATTGGGCTATGAATGAGCTGTATCGGGATCTTGTGAGCTCCTAAAGAAATAGAGTATTGCTATTGGGACTTAAAAAACTGACCTAATTTGAACGATGTGGCAGTGATGTGGTTCGATAGTGTTGTTCTGACTGTAACTCTTAAACTTTTTCATTGGAACTACACCACTTGACACATTATTATGTCATTAAATTAGGTCAATTTTATAGGTCTAATAGCATTAATCAAAGAAATATGTGAAGTTTCTGAAAAATCTTCGCTTCAATTTGTGACTGTACCAAGGAAAAAGAAAATGTGACTATTTCATGAGGCAAAAGAAATCATGAAAGCAAAATGGGCTGGTTATATTGATAAAAGATGTAGCATATTTGCAATCACAGGCAATTGATTGTACTAGTTTTTAGTGTGGATAACTGTAACTTCCTATTTGTCTAGATTTTACTAAGTATCTTTTTCTTTTTCTTCTTCTTCTTCTTGTTGCTTATTTAGTATTACTATGGGATAAATAGATTTTGTTTCTTTAAATTTTCCATGAATTAATAAGTTTGCCTAAGGTGGTGTTGTACTTGTAGGCCGCTGCTTGGTCATGTTCATGGGATTCTAGCGGTTCACAATATATATATGCCGGATTACAGGTTCTATCTCTTGAATCTTCAGTTATCTTGATGAGCCTAGCTGGTGTTTTGCATGATTTTTTATGTTAAAACCTAGAAATTTTGCAGAATGGCATGCTTTTGGAGTTTGATATGCGTCAAACTGATAGACCTGTGGAATCGATGACTGGGTTGACGGGTAACCCAATTCATACCTTACAATCTCTTTCACCCCATGGAACAATCCATTCTGGCATTAGAACCCTTCTGACTGCCTCTTCAGTTGGCTTGTGTCAGTGGAATTTTGGTGGTGCTGAAGAAAGGTAGTTCTAGTGCTTTGTTTATAATCTTCAAGTTTGTACTTCGTTTGCGTACACAGCTTCATAGCTCTATGGATTTGGATGTCCTTGAATTTTTTATGTCTTGGTGAATTACTTATAGTTACTGGGAAGAAACTGAAGTGAATAAGCCATTGTTCACCATTCTTAGAAATAGGTGATGATAGATCACTGTTTGAGGAGTGTTGCTTGAACCCAGGGTGTAGTAGCAATAGAGAGAGTTACAAAGACCATAGACATATACATGATATTCGGTGTGCCTTTGTTTGAGGAGAAACACAAGAAGAGACACCAGGCAATTAGAGATAGAAAACAAACAACAACTATAGCAGATGTAACGCCCCGGTTACCTTGAACACGTTAGTCGATAGTTCTTATACCAAACTGTCATCCCTGAACTAACACATGCAAATTAGAGTGCTAATATCCTTGAAATGCAGTAATTGTCACGACCCTGAATAATTGATTAAGCTCTGGTATCCAATCGCTGCACATCAACTTAGTTACATACTTTTGGAGCTTCTAAAAACTTGGTAGGCCCATGCGATTCTCAAAGTTAAGCATTTTCCACACCGTCAAAATTAAATAATGTGCTCCGATACCAAACTTTCATAACATCCTGGATCACCTGAGGACGCTATGCAATGACCTTAACTCGAAATAGTACTATTTCCACTTGACTCAACGTGAAAGTGTGTGAGTACATGAGATTGTGTCAAAAGGAACATCATTTTACAATTTTAAGCGTGCATCTTTCTAAATCGGTACATTTTCAAATGGAAGCATGTTCAAATAACATAAAGATACTCCAAGCTCTCTTTCATACATTCTGCCAAATGCTTCACTTTCCAAATACTGAAAAAGTGAATTAATATAGGGTGAGCGTCAATCAGTTCAATAAGTTGATCGGTTCAGAACAAACAAGGTTTGGAAATAGCATAGCATTTCAATAATTGGGATGTAAAAAATCATTTAAGCATATATACTTATAACTCAAAAGCAACTGGTATTGTCACGTATCCAATACCAAAACATAGTTGTGCCATATCGGGGAATAAAATCCTAATGACTGCATCGGGTTTGTATACATATCAATGTCTCAATCAAATAAACTTTTTAGGGTACTCACACCCCAAGGAAGTTATGCTTCCTATTTCTATCGGCACTGAAACTCCAAAGTCACAAGGTTACCAAAATCGAGGAATGGATCTGTGGATCTCTCTACGGACTCATCGCCACCCTTCCTTTGCCACTCAACCCGGTATGCACGATCATGGTTCTGAATAACGGTAACGGACACCGTAACGGTAACGGTAACGGTAATGTTGTAACTGACGCGGGGTGAAACGGGCGTTACGTAACAGTAACGGCAACCGAATGTGTGAATTTTTTTTTTCAACTCACAACCTCCTATAAAACATTAATATTTACATACTTCAACTTAAAATCATGCAAATATAGGTGTTTAGTGATTTAGTGCATTTTATTGTATCATAAACATGATAATAAAATATCATAAGTATTAATAATATTTCTTAAGTCACTATGCAACAGTGATATTTCCATTAGCAACAATTGAACATATGAAATGCACAATTATAAATCTAACAATTTATTAAATGAAACATATGGATAGAACCAAAATGATTTTTAGAATAGTACAATACAATAAAAAAGAGAAAGAAATAGTGTTACCTTTCAACAATCTTACCACCAAAAAGAACGACGCGGAGGATCCAAACATTGAGATTGAGATTGATCTTGATTACCTCCACTATCATCATTCCATCTTGTGGGCAACATATAAGTAAATGTTCCCAATTCAACTCCATCTTGTCGTGGCTGCTCTCCATATGTATGCAATGTCAAGTAATTGTTAGGGTTCAAAAGCCCTAAAGAATTATCTTGGGGATGTAACGGTGGAGGGTAGTGTTGAGGAGAATAACTATAAGGGTAGGGCCTATAATTTCCAGCTGGATAGCCTGATGAGTGGTAGTTTTCATTACCACTACCATATGATGAATCACTAAGGGTGAGATCACTCAAACTCTGCATAACACTAGACAAGGAATCTTCATATTCATTCCAATTTCTCGTATTTCTGCTTGATTTTTTTCCACGCCGTGATTTTTGACCATAAGCTTTTGGATCAATTCTAACCGCACTAAGTCCATGATCCCCGCGAAACGGTGAATCATGACAATGACCACTAGTATCACCCTGAGCTGGAAGGTTATCCTCAAAATTATAACCATAAATTTGGGTTAGACTAGCAACCCGATGACCCCCATCACCATCATCATCATCATCATCATCATCACCATCACCACAATCACCATCATCATCATTGTCACTACCACCAGCATTATCGCTTTCAGTTGGCGCAGGACTAGAATCAGAGTCTTGGTTATCAAGTGACTCAAAAAGAGGTATGCATTTATTATCATCATCTTCACCAAAAGAATTCATCCAAGAACGAGTTTCCTTATCCAAGAGCATCAATGGTTCTTCCCTTTCTTCTAACTATGGATTTAGGGGATCATCTTCATGAAATATGTAATTCAAATTGATAGCATTAAAGCTATTCTCAATCTCTTGCTGGTTCTTTCGCATAGTATGCCTAATTTTCAATTTCATGTTATAGTGAATGAAAATAAGCTTTTGGAGTTTAGCATATTTCAACTTGTTTCTCGTCTTGGTGTGAATAAGACTCCATGTGCTCCAATTACGCTCACAACCAGAAGATGAAGTAGTCTGACTTAGTACCTTAACTGCTATACTTTGAAGCTCAGGAGCACATGAGCCATAAAGAATCTACCATTCAGCTGCATAAAATAAATTTTGATGAATTTACAAATGAATAAATATGCATTGACTACATATTATAAATTGTAACTTAACTTACCAGGATTTGTTTTGTTAATTGCTGCTTACGCAATATTTGATCCAAATGTTTCTGCTTTATCCCGAAATAAAAATATCTACATACATTATAATTGTGAAATAATGTGAATTAGATAACATGTCATTCAAATAATAAATAAAATTGTAAGTAAACAAGCACTATATACCTGATTTATTGCCTTAATTTGACATTCAATATTCGGCTCCAATTTTTGTATTACTTTCTGCGTTCCATCCATTGTTTCTCGGAACGTCTCCCTAGAGCTGGTAGTAGTATACTGGAATTGTGGATTCAAGAAATAACCTACTCATATATAAATATGAATTTTTAGTTCATTATGACTACTTAATTATCCACATATAACATGCAAATTTCATACAGTTATATAAAAAACATTACTTTGTAGTCCATACTTACTGGTAGCATGAAAATCATGATGTAACTGAACAGACTATCGACGATCAATAATCTTCCAATAGTCAACCCAATATCGATGATCTTTTTTAATAGCCAACTTTGCTCGATCCATTGCTTCATATATAAAATTCATTGTAGGTTTCTCATCTCCATCTACTAACCTTAACACCCTAACCAATGACTCTTGAACAATCAGAACTTCATTACCTCTCTTCCAAAAGTCTTTGCCCATAATCAAATTTTTTACATCACTAGGAGGGCCGGTTTTCATCTTCCCAAAACTAGTTGCCTTATAGTCATCAAAAGTGAACAGAGCCTTTAGGTTATCTTTCTGCCTAATAATGCTCTCAAATGCAATGAAATTTGTGGCAAATCTGGTAATTGAAAGGTGTAACAATTCTTTACCATTTGTATATTTTTTCATCAAATGGTATACCCTTGGATAATTGTAAATGAAGCTTGTGATAGACTTTGCATCATCTAGAACCTTTGCAACAAATTTTTTTTTTGAAATGTCCTCAAGTATAAGATCAATACAATGTGCTGCACACGCTGTCCAATACAAATATGGTCTTTTCTCCATCAACTTCTTTCCGACAGCCTTAAGAGCTGCTTCATTGTCAGTCACTATCTGGACAACATATTCTTGTCCAATCTCTTCAACAACCATATCTAATAAACGAAAATAATAATCTGAAGTCCTACTTGCTACATTAGATGTATCAACAAACTTATGAAAAATTGTACCTTTATTATAATATATCAAGAAGTTGATGATGTGATCTCGTGTTTGACCAGTCCATCCATCACACATGATAGTAACTCCCCTCTTTTTCCATGTTGGTCGAAAGGACTTAATCCACTCCTTCATTGCATTAGCTTCTTTATTCAAATATATCTCAGACACCTCATAAGAATTCGGACCTTTAACCCTTTTTCCTACTTCAGCAGCAACATCAAGCATTGGTTGAGTCCAAGGAGAGTCTGCTACATGAAAAGGCAAATGGTTATATAACATGAATTTAGAAAACATATCTCCTAACCTTTCCCTTCTAATCTTTTGGTGATTTGAATTTATCTTTGGTTGCTTAGAACTTTTATTTCTCAGAAGATCAGGATCCATCTCCCTTAATCTAGCTTTAGGAGTATCATAATTAATCCAATGCCGAGCACTACCATCAACATCCTGCTCACGAACTGAATGAGATCGTCTTAACCTATCTCCATCTTTACCTCTAAAATTACCCCTATCTCCGGAGTTACCTCCTACGTTATACTGTGGCACATGTACACTTCTACGTCTGTGATTTTCTTCAAATTGATATTGTGTCACAGAATCTGAATCATCACACAAGTCCACATATCCCCAACCATTGCCTCCTTCAGATGGAATTCCAATTCTTCCTTCCTCTTTTGTTTATCTTTTTTTTTTTCTCTTTACTTTCTTTAAAATGTTTCATCATCTATTCTCTAACTTCTCGTGGCACGTCTGGGCACGATGTTACATTGCCTCTTTTTCCAGCCAAATGTTCTTTCACTCGTGTAATACCACCTTTAATGATTTTTTTACAAAATATACATACTGCATCATGTCTATTGGTAGCCATTATCGCAAAGTTCCAACCAATATCATCACTGGGATTACTTTGTGAACCTTCTTCTGGGCC